CAGACACCATCCAACGCATGCTGGAAGCTATGTGGAGAGACGGGAACGTTCCTCCACTGCTGGTGGACGTGCCCAAAACTCCGACCTCTATGGCAAAGCGCCACCCACTTAATCGCCAAAATACTACACAAACCATGCCCGGCAGACCCTTGGGCCCTGTTGCTATCCAAGCCCATAGATCCTTTCACGAGATCAGAAAACAAACTGATAGCCCGGATTGCGCTTGCCATCCGCAGAGCCATAGCCGAACTCTGGTCTACGACCCGCATCCCAACACAAGAAATGATAACAAGAAAAATAACAGAGAGTTCACAGATGGATAAACTGACAGCACAACTCCGAGACACCCCCAAACATTTTCACAAAGTTTGGGACCCGTGGCTAGAGGGAGACACATCCATCCCCTGGTAGCCGTATGCACAAACTGAGCACCTGCCAACAATACAACAAAAGACTAGGTAGCTAACACGCTACCCCTCACTGAACATATGATACCATGGCCCTTATGCCTGCCACCACTGAGCCCCAGCCCCCCCCCCGGCCCCACTCTTGGGGACGCCGCGCTCCGGGCGGCCCGCGGGCCGCGACTCCTATCTCCAACCCGACCCACTATAACCAGGCCACCCATGACACCACCAACCTCAAGGCCTCACCCCACCAACCCAACCACTCATGACACAACCAGAAGTACCATTCACCTGGGAACAGGGGAAACATTAAGACAACCACCCTACTAACGGGCGCAGAGACGAACCTGACAGGCGGAACCCGAAGAGGCAGTTAAAAAGCTGGAACACAACAAACACCAACTAGGGTCCCTCAAAACTTGACAGGAGAATGATCGACCTGTAAGCAAAAATACAACGGCCGACTCGGACTGACATAATAGACCGGGACTTACCGGCTAAGCAGATAAGAAAACACACCCCAACGCCAGCCGCACTCTCGACCCGCACGGACTCTCTACCCCTTCCTCGGTGACCCCACCGCTTCGAGAGGGTACTAGATTACACATCAACACAAGTTCGATAACTGGTAGCCATTATAGTCTAACGCACACTGTTCACCATTGTACTACCATGTTTTTAAACGTACCCTGCGTTGGTACAAACCTGTCTGAATGGAACTGTTGTACCCCCCCCCCCCTTTTTATTTTCTGTACCCCTTCCCTTGATTACTGATACCAACACAAAACCAATAAATAAAGAATGATAAAAAAAAAAAAACAAACTGTACATTTGATGTGATGTCATTGGAGGAAGATCGGAAGAGATAGAACTTTGCCTCTGCGATGTAAAGTCAAAATTTTACTTAACGTAAATTTATTTTTCCTTGGATTAATGGTAGTGCACAACAACAGAGAAGTCCACCACCGATTGACAGGAAAGACATGCAGGCAACCAGATAAAGTTAAAAGTTAAGCTCCTCCGTAAAACGCCTCCCCACATGGTATAAAACCACTAACAAACCCAAAAACCCCAGAACATACACAAGCCAGGTAACTGCAAAAATATATTTAATAAATAGGGTGAGAAATACGCGCACTAAGGAAAAAGAAATTTATGGTAAGTCAAATTAGTTTTTCCCCTCCAGATTAGAGGCAGAGATCAACAACAGGGATAAACAAACAATTCTCGAGGGAGAGCAGACATCATTTCACCAGCTTGAAGTACTTTATGACCATAAACAGTGTCCACAGAGGCCTGTATGTCTAATTTGTAAAGTATAAAGAACGTGTGAACTGAGGACCAGGTGGCAGCCTTGCAGATATGAGCTGGAATAGCAAATGCCTTAGATGCACATGATTGGCTTCCAGTTAGATATAGGGCCCAATTCAAAATTCTGGCGCTTGCTTACAAATCCCTACATAATGCTGCTCCAACATACCTATCCTCATACTCAAGTATGTCCCGTCGAGACCCCTGCGCTCAGCCCAAGACCTCCGCCTATCCTCTGCCGGATCCCCACCTCTGATGCTCGCCTTCAAGACTGCTCCAGGGCTGCATCTATTCTGTGGAACTCCCTTCCCTCCTCAATCAGACTTTCACCCAGCCTCCACTCCTTTAAAAAATCTTTGAAAACTCACTTCTTCATTAAAGCGTATCAATTAAACTGTCAGCAGGTTTCTCATCCCCCACCCCATGACTCCTTTCCTGCAACTGTCAAAAATGACCTACCAAGCACTCAATAAACCCTTCTCTAACAAACTATGTAATTCCCCTACTTTAATCCTTTGTGTCACTATACCCCACTAGCATGTAAGCTCATCGAGCAGGGCTCTCAACCCCTTCTGTTCCTGTACGTCCAGTGGTCTGATATCAATAATGTGTCTGTTAGTCCACCCATTGTACAGCGCTACGGAATTTGTTGGCGCTTTATAAATAATAAAATAATAATAATGTAGAATTTGCTCTGGTGGAATGAGATTTCAAATGAAGAGGAGGAGTAACCTGAGAGGACTTGTAAATTAGATAAATGAAAAGCATCACTTTGGTACATAACATTTCTAGGGAAGGAGATCAAGTACCTCCTTGCCTGTTTAGATATGCCATTGTGGTCGCATTGTCCGATCTGACTTGGACGTGCTGTCTCTGAAGATGTTTCATTAAACTCAGGAGGGCCTACAAGTTGCCTTGAGTTCACTGTGATTTAAACATTTCTGTGAATCTTGAGATGTCCATTGACCCTTTGTTGCATATTTTCCCAGATGTGCTCCCCAACTCAAAGCTAATACATCCATGGTGCTGATAATGTGATTTTTCATTCTGAATGAAAGACCTTCCATTCTTATTGTTGAGGGCCAAACCTTCATCAGTCGATCCAGAGAGGAGGGTTCCCTGTTCCATTCTGCAGAGTATTTCTCTGTAGAGGTCGCATTCTTGCTTTGGCCCAGTTGACAGCCGGAATTGTGGCGGTTAAAAGACCCAATAGCCTAACCGCTTCTCATACAGTGCAGAATTTATTTATTTCTAGAGCCATAAATGATCTGACAATATTTGCTCTTTTTTTTCTGCTGGGAGAGTCTATGATTAAACACAAAAATTAAATACTTCTTGTGGGAACCAGCTTAGATTTTTCTAGGTTTCAAATCTATCCATGTAATGTTAGGCAAATTCTGTAGAAGATTTTCTCTTGAGGCAGCTGTGATGACCACCAACACATTATTAACATTTATCCAAGGAGCTGAGCACAGATGAAACGTAAGAGCTCTGAACTTAAGATGCAGATGTTTGTCTTTTCTTGGAGTGCAGAACATTAGAAATGTTTTGCTTCCTTCTGCAATAGATTGGTTTATTGCAATATGTGTAGATACACATCCTTGAGGTTTTGCAGACTCAGCCAATCTAATTTCTGAATCATGTGAGTGGCTGATTGGATGGTCTCCATTCATAATACATTCCCCTACTTTGTCTAATTTACATTACATAGATAGTTACATAGGCTGAAAAGTGACATGTGTCTATCCAGTTCAGCATTCCTCACATCCGTTTTTTGCGGTTGATCCAAAAGAAGGCAAACAAATCCCAGTTTGAAGCACTTCCAATATTGCAACAAACTAGGAAAAAAATCTTGAACCCAGAATGGCAGTCAGATTAATCCTTGGACCAAGAAGCTATTACCCTACAGTTAAAAAATTATAATTGAATATTCTGTTTCTGCAAGTATGTATTTAGTTGCTGTTTAATCTGTACAGACTCTGATGAAATCACTTCTTCAGGCAGGGAATTACACATCCTTACTGCTCTTACTGTAAAAAAAAGCCTTTTGTTTGCCTTAGACTAAATCTTCTTTCTTCCAGTCTAAACACATAGCCTCGTTTCCCATGTATAATCCTGTCTGTGAATAGATTTCCACACAATGGTTTGTGTTGGCCCTGGATATATTTGTATAATGTTATCATATCCCCTCTGAGGCAATATTTTTCTAAACTAAAGAGGCTTAGATTTGTTAACCTTTCTTCATAGCTAAAATGTTCCATTCCTTTTATTAAAGGATCACTATAGGGTTTAGGAACACAAACATGTATTCCTGACCCTATAGTGTTAACACCACCATCTGGGCCCCTCATGCCTCCACAAATATAGCAAAATCTTACTGAATTCAAGCCTGAAGCTGTAACTCTGCATGCTGTTATACTCAGAAAAACAAGCAGTCTGCTGACATCATCAAAAGTGGTAGCCTGATCCAATCACAGTGCTTCCCCATAGGATTGGCTGAGACTGACAAAGAGGCAGATCAGGGGCAGAGCCAGCATTATTCAAACACAGCCCTGGCCAATCAGCATCTCCTCATACAGATGAAATGAATCAATGAATCTCTAAGAGCAAAGTTTAGTGTCTGCATGCAGAGGGAGGAGACACTGAATGTTTGGATGCATTTTAGGCAGCCATGGCCAGGAAGGATCTCTAACAGCCATCTGAGGAGAGGCCAGTGAAGTTATCACTAGGATGTAATGTAAACACTGCATTCTCTCTGAAAAGACAGTGTTTACAGCAAAAAGCCTGAAGGTAAGGATTCTACTCACCAGAACAAATTCAAAAAGCTGTATTTGTTCTGGTGACTATAGTTCCCCTTTAATTTTGTAACCTGCCTCTGCACTCTTTCCAGTGCCACAATAGCCTTCTTTAGAACAGGTGCAAAAAATTGCACAGCATATTCAAGATATGGTCTTACCAGTGATTTATAAAGAGGTAAAATTATATTCTCAGCCCGAGAATAAATGCCCTTTTTTATGCATGACAATACCTTACTGGTCTTAGCCACGGCTGATTGACATTGTTGCCTAGTTTGTTGTGTATAACAATTCCCAAATACTTCTTGTGTGTGGTTATCCCCAATTTACTCTCAAAACAACAGCACATGGAGAGACAAAATAGTATAAGAACAGCCAGGTGCAAACCATATAAACACTTCCTCAAGTGCTTTAAATATTCAAATGTTTATAGAATACACACTAACAATCTCAAAAAAAACTTAGCTTTATTATGTACAAAAAAGTACCAGAGTGAAAACATATAAAAAAAAATAAACAAAGTGACAGAAGCAAGGGCAAATACAGTAAAATAATAAATTACCACAAAAATTCTTACAAGCCTCAAGACAGAAACACGAGTCACCAAACCCCCCCAACGTTTCGGCACCAACTATCCATAATTCACTACCATTTAGGGTAAAAGTTGCTGATGCATTCTCTACCCCCAAGTGCATACCTTTGCATTTTTCTGCATTAATTTTCATCTGCCAATTGAGTGCCCAGTCCCCCAGTTTACTCAAATCCCACTGCAGCAAAGTAATATCTTGCTCACATTGTATTACTTTACAAGGTTTTGTGTCATTTGCAAACACTGAAACATGACTTTCAATGTCCCCGATCATTTATAAACATGTTAAATAGAAGGGGTCCCAGAACAGAATCATGAGGGACACCACTTGCTACCTCTGTCCAGCTTGACAATTTACCATTAATGACAACTCTTTGTACTCTATGTTTAAGCCAATGTTCTACCCAAAAACAAGAATTTCCATCTAGACCAATTTGAGTTATAAAACACCTTGACAAAATCCAAATAGATAAAATCCACTGCAACACCCTGATCTATACTTCTACTTACTTCTTCGAAGGCAATTAAGTTAGTTTGACATAACCTATGCTTCATAAAACCATGCTGATTTTTTTGCTGATAACCATGTTCTTCTCAATGAATTATTTAATATTACCCCTTAATAACCTTTCAAATACTGTCCCAACCACAGAAGTTAAAGGACCACTATAGGTACCCAGACTACTTCAGCTTAATGAAGTGGTCTGGGTGCCAGGTCCCTCTAGTTTTAACCCTGCAGCTGAAAACAGTTTCAGAGAAACTATTTTTACACTGAGGGTTAATCCAGCCTCTAGTGGCTGTCTCACAGAGGAGGGTCCTAAGGACTACATAGTACCAGGAAAACCAGTTTGTTTTCCTGGCACTATAGTGGTCCTTTAAGCTCAAAGGTCTAAAATTTCCAGGCAAGGATTTTGAACCCTTTTTTTGAATATAGGAACCACAGCTGCCTTCCTCCAATCCTCAGGTACAATTCCTGGAAGAAAATCTTAAAAGATTAAAAACAGAGTTTCACTTATTTCCACACTTGGTTCCTTAAGTACTAGTGGACGAATATCCTTAGGCCCTGCAGCTTTGTTTATATTAGCTTTCTTTTGTTGCAGCAGCACCTTGTCTTGAGTCATCCAATCACAATGTTTCTGCAAGTTTTTTGCAGCAATCATTTGCATATCTATAGCCATAGGTTCTTCCTACGCAGATGAGAAATAGTTATTTAAAATTTCTGCCTTTTCCTGGTCTTCATTATCAAAGACCCCCATTCCAGTTTTTAGTGTACCTACACTTTCATTTGTTTTTAGAATTGATGTACCTAAAACAGTATGTGCTTTCTTCTTATTGTGTTAGAACATCAATGAAATTTCAAGTGTTTTCAATTTTCCCAAGAAGTTATCTTTATGAAAACCTAAAAAGTAGCAGAGCTTCTATAAGAACACTCTTGAATTTGAGGCATTAAAATGCCATATTAAGATGTTTAGATAGCTTCCATACAATGCGTAGGTAAAAGAGCAATAAAAATATTGGATAGGATTACATATTTGGAGATGATATTTCTCTAGTTTTGCAAAGTAATATAAAAGGGACACTTCCTTTATTACAAATTCTGTTTAATTTAGAATTTATCATCATCATCTCCAGCCCTGTTAATAGCTTGCTAGACCCAGCAGGAGTCTATTGTATGCAATAAAAGTTCAATTTAAATGTTTTTACCTCCTGCTTTGTAAAGTTAGTTGCATCAGATTTAAAATGAAACTGTTTTGTTTTCATGCAGGCTCTGTCAATCACAGCCAGGGGAGGTGTGACTAGGGCTGCATAAACAGAAACAAAAGTGATTTAACTCCTAAAATGGCAGAGAATTGAACAGTAAAACTACAGAGGCATGATATATACGTCCAAACTGCTTCATTAACCTAAAGTTGTTTTGGTGACTTAAGAGTCCCTTTAACCCCTTAAGGACCAAACTTCTGGGATAAAAGTGTTCTGGGATAAAAGGGAATCATGACAGGTTACACATGCCATGTGTCCTTAAGGGGTTAAATTATGGATGATAAATGTATCAACATGTATAGCAACAGAGTTAAGATTATGATTTGTCAAATCTTTAATTCAATTTAAAAGAAAAACTGAGCATCTCAAGTTAAAAAACAAACAAAAATTAAGATACATTATAGGTGATGTTCAATGTTTTATTCAATGGTATACATTCCAGAGAAAGGACAGTTCCTCTTTAATATTTGTAGTGAGAAACTAGTATTTGGAAATTAGTAAAGAAAAATCAATTGAAGTGGCTGTCACATCAAACTTACATTTCTCCAATTGGTTCCTTTGTCTTATGTATTTTTCCTACACTTGACAATCTTGACAAAAGGGTGGAGCTTAGGGCAATGCCCATTATTTTAAGAAATGAAGTGGAGGTTGCCTTAAGCTCCACAGTTTGTCAGGATTGTCAAGCGTAGGAAAAATACATAAGGACAAAGTAGCCCTACTTTGTCATACGTCTTAAAAATATTAGATCAGAAATGAAGTACAGATTCTTAAACAAAAATGAAACAATAGGAGAAAGGTATGTTTGAAGTGACAAACATATGTACTTATTTTTTTTTTTTTACACACATATATTTCTAGTGCAACAATTGCAATAAATTTCACTAACATTAAACGAGAGACATACCGGTATGTTAGCCGTAGTAAAACTGAACAATAGCAACTTGGATAAGCAGGTCCACTATTATTCAGGTTAATCCAGCCAATGACAGGGCACCAACTAATGAGCTACAAATTTTCTATTAGAAATAAAATATGCAACACACATGTTCAGGTACATTAAGAAAACACAATGGGGATGATTTATCAAAGTGTCAGTGAATAACTGTTTTTTTTCTGGATTTTTGGCTGGTACTCCATTTCCACTATTTATTACTTTGGCTTTTCAATGGTTTTTATTTTTCCTTTTGTACTACACTTTATTAGTAATATTTTTGCCTGTTTATGCACCATAAACATTAGACGTTCTGGTGTTCTCTTATGCCACTGTTATGTTGGTTAAAAAGGGAGGTAAAATACTCACATACAATTTTCACCTTACTCACAGAGGAACATAGTTGTGAAGGTGCAAAAAACTGTTTGAAAATATAAAGTAGCATAGTGACACACTACTTTTAAAATACTTTTATAAAAGAGAAGACACTTTTCAGAATACAATGATGGATGTCACACACATAGGGAGAATTGAGCTACGCTACACACAAGGTCTGAATCACCCCAGAGTGAAAGCAGACTAACACATTTATAACACCCCATGGAATCATTTGTGTATGTGGAATAAAAGATAACACTGCAGGAACTTTGGTACGAGTTTCATTACAGCATTAGATGGTTCTTTAGGATTAAAATTAAAAATATTCTGGTCTGCTAATATGAGAGAATATGATTATTATTCATTTTAAACCATTTACAGAAGCAATAATCACAAGTGATTATACACGGTCTACTGTCTGGGACACATGTGGTGTGTGCGATGCTAAGATTTGGAGTCACAGTGTGCAAGGAGTAAACACAGACACCACATCCCACGCTTAACAGGAAAACACAGGATGGTCCAAATATATACATAATAAAGTTGGCAAGATATTCCTTACACTTAATACAAGTAAATGAGAATCAGAAAATACATGTTAGGTCATTATGTTTTCAGATCACTATAAGACAAAGTGCACAGGTAAATAATACATTTAATAGATGGATCAAATTTAGTTTCTGATAGATATGTCTCTATTGCAGTCAGATCATTTTTTTAAAACAGTAAATTCCAGAGGGAATAGGCAGGATATTTAAATATGGAGACCCGGTGAAGGAGAGACATGCAGCCATGCTTACAAAGTAATTTACAGTTACTAATGCACTCCTACATATTGACTGATGTCACATTGCGCAACCCATTTCTTGTTAGTCATTCAGACAGTTAAGAAATTCGTACTGAGATAAGTGTGAAAATTAGATCATTTATGAAAAGAAAGTTTTATCATCAGCTGTATCAATGCAATTTTTCTTTATTTCTGGTTGGCAGCTTGTAGCAAACGGAGAATATGCAGAAACAGATTAATGATGTCGAGATAAAGATTGATTGAAGCCAGGATGTGTTCTTCAGGAGACAATTTGTGCATCAACAAATGAGTATCATAGATGATAAAACCACAGAACAAGATGGCTCCTCCAGCAGCAATTGCCAGCTCCACAGTCTCACTGTGAAGGAAAAACTGACCAGAAAAAAAAATAAAAAAAAATTCAGCATAACACTACATTAAACACCAAGAAATTCAACCCACAGGACCAGAGAGTAAACACATTTTCATATACACAGGAGAGCCTTATACAATTTTTCTTTTTACAAACTTGAGTTAGCCACACTGCAGTGTAAATGAGGGCTACTCTTCTGATAAGTACTGAAATTAATTTCTTGGAATTATATTTTGAATTTAGGCTAGGGTGAGCCCCCCATGTATGTGATGCCTGGTCTTGAATGGACACAATAGGCACCAGAAAGACTACAGCTTAGGGTAGTGTTTCTAGGGCAATTAGCCTGTTCCTGTTGGCAAAACATTGTAAAGGCTTGCTTTTCTGAGAGAAGGCAATGTTTACATGGCTGCCTATGACCACTACTAGGGACGGTCACACAGACAGCCACTAGAGTGACTTCCTGGACAAGGTCCTACAAAGATTGCATGATCTATGTTCAATGCCCACAATAAGATGCTAAATGCTCCCCATAGAGATGTACTGACGCAATGCATCTCTATGCGGATATACGGATTGGCTCAGCAATTACTGCACAGTAAGAGTTCACAAAAATGTACAGCAAGAAATCAAAGTGTACCATTGACTTGATTGCCTTAAATGAAATTAATCCTAGGCACACCAACACTTTGCAACCCAAAAATCATAAACAAGTAATAAGTAAGACAAGGTCAGCAGATGTACAAAGGCAGAGAATTTGATACATTTCAGTCTTACTTACAAAAGATAACAAAGGTTCAGGCACTCAAAGGTCCAAGAAAGACAAATTTATTCAAACCAGATAACAAGAAGTAACGTTATCTGGTTCAAATAAATTTGCCTTTCTTGGACCTTGGAGTGCCTGAACCTTTATTGGTTTCTTGCATTTGGCATCTGGGACTAGTGCTGGGCCATGGTTTAGTTGCACCCTGGCCCAGAGTGATGGGATTAAGTGCAGTTCCTAATCTACTTTAGAAAAGGATTTACTTACAAAAGATGACTTAAGAGAGCACTCTATACATCATAACAACTATTGCTACCTATGGAGGATGTCATGTAACGAGTCTGTGGGTGCTGTCCTATTTTTATTTTGTTAAACTGTTTAAGAGAAGTTGGAGGGCAAAAAACAAAACCAAAAGGCGCATATCAAAGGATCGCCCCTTTCTTCTCAGTTGTGGTTTTTGGCTGCAATATTAGCCTGAGAAAAATGTGTTAACCCAGTTCCAGCATTCTTAGCCTATGAATGTCACCCAAAGGTGTCGTGGCTAGTGCATAAGTCCACTTTCGCATTGGTAGTGTGGCAGGATGTAGGCACCAGGAGAGCGCTGTCTATTTTGCAAACGCTCAAAAAACACACACCTGCTGGATAGTGTCCACAATGAGCTGCAATGGCTATGGAGCATAGAACACTACTTAAAATAAGGAATACAATGCTCCATTTCAATTACATCACACAGTACAAAAAAGGTACAGTTTATAGTCTATAATCCAAATACTAAACAACCTTTATTTTTTTGATGTGTAAATTCCTGATCTGACCTTTAAGCAAAAGGTTTTACAAGATTAAATTGCTTGGACAGGCAGGTCATATTTTGATATTTAAACACTACAGAAGCTAAATACTAGTTGTGTAGAGATCCGGTAAAAATGCAATAACATAAAATTTACAATGTGGCCATCAGATTACTCTCATAAATACACAATGACTGTAATATCTTACCCTCAGAAAACCAGCAAGAATTAACACCAGCAGGCCTGCAAAAAGTCTGTTTAAAAAAAAAAAAAAAAAAACAAAGGCCAAAGTCAGTTTTCTTTTCCCATTAACAAATCAAACAATACTTCTAATGTCACAATAAGGTTGAACTTTGTCACTCAAAAGTGACAATCACCACCTGCTTGGACAAGAGTTGTGTTATATGTAAAGTTGATCATTACACTAGCAGGGTATTTCTCAGTCTTAGGACAGTTTTATCATGTGGTAGCTAAATAACACAAAACACAGTTAACATTTAAATATATATATTTTTTGTAAATTCTCATTTTGAATGTAAAAACAAGCTACTTGGCTGAATGCTACAAAATGAATATTTATGTTAAACATTAATGGATTTTAGGCGCAACACAGTTTAGTTATTATAGTGATGGCTAACCTTGACACCATAAATTGTTTCTGGACTACATTTCCCATAATGCCCCCCATCCGTAATCGGGGCAATGTCACCATCTTTGCAAAATCATGCAATGTACTCCGATCGTGACAGTTCTGCTTTATAAGCTTAATAGAAGAGTTGGGTAGTTGTTCCATTTTGGCATAAAATTTGCAAATACAGTTTCAGTTCTCAAATAATTCCTAGTTGAATGAATATCCATGAAAGGCTATTCGGAATAAATACACAAACAGTGTTTGGGATGCTGAATCTTTCAACAGACCTTTGGACACCATGACAAGCATTTTACAAATGCAGAACAATTCTGAAAGAATGTCAATAAACAACTTGCATATAACATTATAATTTTGATATGTCTTTGTGAGTCTTCTGATCATTATAATGAGCCAAACATAATCAACCAACAATCAATTACTAGTTTTATCCAGGCAGCTTACCCAGCTCCAAGTTTGCTGAAGTCTCTCTTAGACTGGAAAGTGTACACGGTCAGTCCAAAGAACACCGCTGCGGTCAGTAAGAAGGCTTGTATAACCACAGACACTTCATAAAATGTCACTGGAACAGAAAAAACACACAGATGTGTTACACATAGGTTTGATGTATTGGATTGGCATCTGTCTTACAGAAATCTTTTCTGTTTTATTGGCATTTCCCCCCCTTCTCCTAGAACTCATGAGGGATACGAATATCTATGTCTATCTAAACCCAGTACTAAAAGATTCGAAAAAAATGTAAGGGTCACGAAGCATCATGCTAGTCTGTCCTCAGACAGATTCATTAACCCATGTTTAAAAGGAAACTTTGAAGGAATGTATGTTATTTTATTTATTTTTTTTGTTGCAATATAAAAATGATTTTTAGTCCATAATTTTCCTTTAGATATCTGGATGTGGTCTAAAATCCCAATTCCCAGAAAAAGTTTTTATGTTGTTAAAAGTAAAATTGAGAGACAAAATATACTGAAATGCCACAAATCAAAAGTTACACAAATAACTTGGAATATTTACCTGCAATACCAACTGTTATAGCTTCCAAGAGAGTCTAGAAAAATAAAGGAACTTCGATCATATCAAAACTGAAAAGTTACCAATGTCTTTGCAATCATGTTCTTATGCAACAGAAGGCAATCACTTCACTAAGGAGTGAAGAGTCATAGGGAACCACTGTCAAATGCCACTGTAGTATGATGTAACATGCCTGAAACCTTATCGGTCAACTTAAAGGGCCACTAAGCAGAAAAACATCTCCTAAGCAACTAGTTTCTCTCTAGTCTGTATGCAGGCAACTTCACTTACCATGTATCAGTGGAAAAGGGCCTCTAAGTAGCAAAACAACTTCTTTAAGCCCTTAAGGACTGAGCCAAATGTACAAGTTGTGATCAAAACAAACAAAATCTGGAATTTGACTATATGTCTGTTCAACCGTATTTCACCTCTTTCATATTAAGTGCACCGACACTTATTATATATAATTTTATTCAGGGGAAACAGGGCTTTCATTTAACATCAAATAATTAGATATGAAACAATTTAATATGAATAAAATATTATAAAATGGGAGAAAATACATTTTTAATTTTTTTTTAGTTCTATGTGACATTTTAACTGTGAATGTCAGAATTCGGTTTGCTTTTACTGCAATAAAATACACATTTTTATTCAGTGATTTCTCACGTGTAAAACAGTACCCCCTATGTACAGGTTTTATGGAGTTTTGGAAAGTTACAGGGTCAAATATAGCAGGTTACATTTTTCATTTTTTTCCACATTGAAATTCGCCAGATTGGTTACGTTGCCTTTGAGACGGTATGGTAGCGCAGGGATGAGATTACATACCATTTGCAGTAATAGACAACCCAAGGTATTGCAAATGGGGTATGTTAAGTCTTTTTTAATAGCCACTTGGTCACAAACACTGGCCAAAGTTAGTGTTAATATTTGTTTGTGTGTGAAAAATGCAAAAAACTAATTTAAGCGCCAATTTTGGCCAGTGTTTGTGACTAAGTGGCTACTAAAAAAGACTGGACATACCCCATTTGCAACACCTTTGGTTGTCTACTATTGCAAATGGAATGCCATCATGGGGGTAATTTTCATTCCTGGGCTACCCTACGGTCTCAAAGGCAACGTAAGCAATCTGGCGAATTTAAATGTGAAAAAAATGAAACGCAAGCCTTTTAGTTGACCCTGTAAATTTTGAAGACTCCATAAAACCTGTACATGAGGGGTATGGTTATACTCTGGAGACTTCGCTAAACACAAATATTAGTATTTCAAAACAGTAAAACGTATCACAACAATTATATCATTTGTGTGTGAAAAATGCAAAGAAATTTCACTGACGATATCACTGTTGTAATACATTTTACTGTTTTGAAACACTAATATTTGTGTTTAGCGAAGTCTCTCAAGTAAAACAATACCCCCCATGTACAAGTTTTATGGTGTCTTGGAAAGTTACAGGGTTAAATATAGTGGTAGCAAATTAAGTTCCCTGGACTTTCGGCCTGGGTTGTCAGGCAGGTCACGCAAATTGTAATATATTTTGTGTGTTACAGGGTTAAATAACACAATATATTTTGTGTGTTACAGGGTTAAATATTACAAATTTTAATATATATATAATAATCAATTATTAGTTTTATCCAGGCAGTTTACCCAGCTCCAAGTTTGCTGAAGTCTCTCTTAGACTGGAAAGTGTACACGGTCAGTGTTACAGGGTTAAATATTACAAATTGTAATATATATAGGCTGTTAGTGTAGGACCTGCCAAAGATGGGGTACATTGACGTTGTGGCAGGCTTATGCAATGTATGATCATATAATGTAACTAAACCCCCATTATTTTTGCCTAGATTAGGTGTTTTTAAAAAAACAAATACAATCTTTCAACATTGAAGTTGCTGTTTAGTGGATAGGTGAGTGCGCTGGATCTTGTGTATTGTATTATTTGGCCCCCAGCAGCACCCCCATTTATGCATGTTAAGGTGAGTGCAGCCAACCCCCTCTTGTTTTATATATATATATACAGTGGCGTACACATGACCCATGGGGCCCCGGTGCGAAAATTGATCCGTGGGCCCTCCCTCCCCCCCCCGCGCGCGGGCCGGGCCGCAACACATGGCGGTGGGCACCTGGTCGCAGGGGTTACAGGGCTGCGACCGCGGTATGTACGCCAGTGCATGCAGATGCACACATTTAAAGGACCACTCTAGGCACCCAGACCACTTCAGCTTAATGAAGTGGTCTGGGTGCCAGGTCCAGCTAGGGTTAACCCATTTTTTCATAAACATAGCAGTTTCAGAGAAACTGCTATGTTTATGAATGGGTTAAGCCTTCCCCTATTTCCTCTAGTGGCTGTCCCATTGACAGCCGCTAGAGGCGCTTGCGTGCTTCTCACTGTGATTTTCACAGTGAGAGCACGCCAGCGTCCATAGGAAAGCATTATGAATGCTTTATGTGACAGGCTGAATGCGCGCGCAGCCTTGCGCTGCGCATATACACAGGGGAGGAGAAGAGGAGGATTGGAGGAGGAGAGCCTCCAAAGGTGGGGTAAGTTTTACCCCTTTCCAGAGCCGGGCGGGAGGGGGTCCCTGAGGGTGGGGGCACCCTCAGGGCACTATAGTGCCAGGAAAACGGTATGTTTTCCTGGCACTATAGTGGTCCTTTAAGGACCACTACAGACACCCAGATCACATCAGCTCAATGAAGTTGTCTGGGTGTCAGGTCCCTCTAGTTTTAACCCTGCAGCTGAAAACATAGCAGTTTCAGAGAAACTGCTATGTTTCACTGAGGGTTAATCCAGCCTCTAGTGGCTGTCTCACTGACAGCCGCTAGAGGAGCACACTGAACGTCCATAGGAAAGCATTGAGTAATGCTTTCCTATGGGCGGTTTGAATGCGTGCGCGGTGCATTCGGAGCGGAGAGGCTGAGGGATCCTCAGTGCCAAGGGAGTCCGGCGCTGGAGAAAGGTAAGTGCTGAAGACACACACACACACACACTTACAGACGCATACACACTAGCTAACAGACACACACATTTACTGACAGAGACACAGTCACTTAAAAAACATACACTCATTGACAAACACACACTCACTAACAGACATCAAACAGACTCACTAACACACACACACACTCAGTAAGACACACACAGTAACACACTCACTGACACTCACACTCACACTCAAACACTCACACTAACACTAACACTCACACTAACACAAGTTTTTGTTGTTGTTTTTTTTTTTAATGTAATCCCCCCAGCCTCCTTACCTTTTGGAGTGCTGGGGGATTCCCTGGGGTCCAGTGGTGCTGCTGGGCTCCTGGGCGGGTGGCCGGTCGGGCAGGAAGGCGGGCGCGCGAGGGAGCACTCACTGCTTCCTCTTCAGCTCCCTCGCGCGCCGCATAGGGATGCCGGCGCCGGAAGATGACGTCATCTGCCGGCTCCGGTATCAGTGTGGTGCGCGAGGGAGCTGAAGAGGAAGCACTGAGTGCTCCCTCGCGCGCCCGCCTGCCTGCCCGACCGGCCACCCGGGGTCAGCAGGGCCAGCCTCAGGGGGGCCCTGGGGTGGTCGGCTCCTGGGCCACCCAGGGGAAGAGGCTGGCCCTGGGCGTACATACCGGGTCGCAGGGGCGGCCGGGCCCCCTGGTGGGCCGGGCCCGGTCGCAGCCGCGACCCTGGTATGTACGCCACTGTATATATATATATTATATATATATATATATATAAATATATATAAAATCAATTACTAGTTTTGTCCGGGCAGCTTACCCAGGCAGGTCACACAAATTGTGTGTGTGTATGTATATGTATATATATATATATATATATATATATATATATATATATATATATATATATATATATATATATATATATATATATATACACACACACACATATACATATACACACACACACACACACACACACACACACTCAATGCTCCCATGCTGTCTCCAACCAAATTGTATACGATACCAGTAGAGAGCACTCAGGAATCTTTCAAGGTAAATTTCATCTGCTGCTTTATTGAGCAATTACAAATTCACACAACGTTCCAGTCTGTAAAATACTTTTTTCCGGTCTTGACAAAAGTCTTTTACAGACTGGAATGTTGTGTGAATTTGTAATTGCTCAATAAAGCAACAGATGAAATTTTCCTTGAAAGACTCCTGAGTGCTCTCTACTGGGTGGGTGGGTGGGTGGGTGGGTGTACACACACACACACATACATACACACACTTATGTATATAGATATATATTTCGTTCTGTGTCTATTTTGAGATAGAGAGATATATATCTATATCTCAAAATACAGTTAGAACGAAATTACACACACACATATATATAATCTAAGTATGTATATATCTCAAAATACACGTAGAATGATAATGATTAAAAAAAAATATATATATAAAAAAAATAAAATATGGAAATACGTTAAATATAAAATAAATAAAAATATATGTGTAATTTCGTTCTAACTGTATTTTGAGAGAGATATATATTTCAAGTATATATTTTATTTTAAACTGTTTTAACTTTTTTTTTATTTATTTTTTTTACTTTTTACAGGCAGCAGGGGGGGGGGAACCTGTAATTACAGACACTCTCTCATGCTGGCACTGCTGTGGACTGCTATGCCGTCCATGTGTTCGTGAGGTCCTCGCAAGGACCTCGCGATCACATGGCCCAGGAGAGCTGGAACGGCAGCAGGGGGACTTCCTGGGATGCCAAGTGAGTCCCCCACCACGATCGCCAGCGAGCGGGTAAGTACATAGGACGGTGGTGACGTGCTATGCTGCCTGCTGGCATTTAGAGCCGGGTCCCCAAAGATGGCATAGCATGCCTGCCTTCCTTAAGGGGGTTAAAGGGACACTATCGTCACCAGAACAACTACAGCTTATTGAATTTGTTCTGGTGAGTAGAATCATTACCTTCAGGTTTTTTGCTGTAAACACTGCCTTTTCAGAGGAAATGCAGTGTTTACATTACAGCCTAGTGATAACTTCACTGGTCACTCCTCAGATAGCTGTTAGAGATCCTTCCTGGGTCATGGCTGCCTAAAATGCATCCAAACATTTAGTATCTCCTCCCTCTGCATGCAGACACTGAACTTTTCTCATAGAGATTCATTGATTTAATTCATCTCTATGAGGAGAAGCTGATTGGCCAGGGCTGTGTTTGAATTGTGCTGGCTCTGCCCCTGATCTGCCTCTTTGTCAGTCTCAGCCAATCCTATGAGGAAGCACTGCGATTGGATCAGGCTACCACTTCTGCTGATGTAATCAGACTGCTTGTTTTCTGAGGCAAACAGCATGCAGATCTACAGCTTCTGGCTTGAATACAGTAACAATCTGCTGTATTTATGGAGGCATGAGGGGCCCGGGGGGGCTAGATGGTGGTTTTAACACTATAGGGTCAGGAATATGTTTGTGTTCCTGACCCTATAGTGATCCTTTAAGCTTAAGTTTTACTGCTCAATTGTCTGACATTTAGGGGTTATATCCCTTTTGTTTCAGCTTATGCAGCTCTAGCTACACCTCCCCTGGCTGTGACTCACAAAGCCTCCATGAAACAAAAATGGTTTTATCTTTAATCAGATCTTACAGAAGTGTGTTTAATTTAGAAAGCCTTATATCTTGCTTGGGTAATAGACTGCTGAAGCCTAAAGTAAACACACATAATCACAATGCTGAAAAAGTAGACCAAAAAAAACAGGAAAAGTGTTTCTACTTAAAAGCAGTAGTCCCCTTCTGGGGTTTCTCCTTTGCCTCTAAATTCCAAGAGCTCACGTCACCGCTCTACACACACGCATGCTGCAGACACTGATATCTATGGAGGATCAAGTGAGACCCTCTATAGAACAAGCCTTTTTCCTCATAGCCATTACTAGATAAATGGTTAGATTTGCCATTTGTCAATCATGCGAAAATCTATAAATAGCCCCTAAATGTTTTATTACATCTTTTGACTATGTTGGAATTTTTGTGAAATGCAGTCAACATTTTCATAAAGAGTTAATCTTTATAAATTTACTCACTTTTTTGTGGTGGGGGTGGATGGGTGGCAGAGAAACTTTAATTGCAACTCTGCATACTTTTCAACTTGGTCATAAATATGTAATTCAGCATACTTTTAGACTTGGTCAAAAATAACCATCATAAAAATGGATGAATTGTAAAAGTAATGATTTTTTAGAAACCTAAGTGCCAATTTATTTATGTTTTAACACTTTGTCAATTCAATGTTTTGAGACCAAACTTCTAAATCTCTTCTGTACAACAGGCAAATAGGGATGCAAACTTTAAAAGCATTCTGAGGGATGTACGGTTACAATCAGAGGCGTAGCTAGAAACCACCGGCCCCCGGTGCAAAAATTGTACCAGGGCCCCCCCACATGTGTATCATTCCCTCTCTCAGCCCTCCATTTGTCTCATTTCTTCTCTCAGCCCCCATTCCAGCCCTCATTAACCCTCCTCACCCCCCATTCCAGCCCTCGTTAACCCTCCTCACCCCTCACACCCAGCCCTCGTTAACCCTCCTCACCCCTCACACCCAGCCCTCATTAACCCTCCTCACACCCAGCCCTCATTAACCCTCCTCACCCCCCACATCCAGCCCTCATTAACCCTCCTCACCCCCCACATCCAGCCCCATCATTAACCCTCCTCACCCCCACATCCAGCCCTCCCTCCTCACCCCACATCCAGCCCCTCATTAACCTCCTCACCCCCACATCCAGCCCTCATTAACCCTCACCCACATCCAGCCCTCATTAACCCGCCTCACCCCCACATCCAGCCCTCATTAACCCTCCTCACCCCCACATCCAGTGCTCATTAATCCCCCTCACACTGCCCTCATTAACCACTTTCAGCCCCTATTAACCCCTACACTCCCATTAACCCCCTTCACCCTCCATCCAGCCCTAATTAACCCACTTCACCTCCCATCTAGCTCTCTTTGACCCCTTTTAACTCCAATCCAGCCCTCACTCCCTCTTTCACCCTCCATCCAGCCCTCATTAAGCCTCCTCACCCCACCATCCAGCCCTCATTCCCTCTCTTCTCCTCTACCTTATGACTGTAACGTGGCTGCACTACAAACAGAGAAACCGGCAGGAGGGGAGGCGTAAAGCACAGCGCTCACTTTCCGCCGGTCATCCAGCGACCGCAGGGCCCGTGTCGTTGTGGTAGTGCACTGGCCCTGAAGTTGTGGTGGCCCTGAAGTTGCAAGGGTCCTGGAGTGATGGGCCCGGTCGCAGCTGCAATCGTGGTAGGTACGCCACTGGTTACAACAGCAGGTAATCTACCCTTTGTCCACCTATGTTCTGTGTTTGATGTGGGGTTATTTAATAAGCAGTGAATTGTAGTAACATTAAAAACAGAATTTGAAAATTTTGTCAAAAACAGCTTGTTGGAAAAAAATTCTCCAAGTCTGGTAGTCACACCTTGGCTAGTTTAGTCTGTTACAAATTGGATTTCAATTAACTACACTCTTCTGGTTAGTGAATAAATCCCACCTTAATCACTGCTGTCATTAGTACTGAAAATAGATTTTTTTTTTTCCCTCTTGCTGGCAAGGGATTTAACTTTGCATTCAAGTAGCATGCAGATCAGTATTTGGTTTATGGTTCAGTAACAATGTGTTGGCAGGCGGAATACGGTGTCTGTATAGGTGCCACGTTGCTCACTGGGACAGGTAAAGTATCCAACAAAATGCAGATTCATAGTATTTAAAGGGCCAGTGGCTGTAGCAATGAACTTCGATAAAAAGGCTATTGCAGAATACTTTTTAATAGATTAAATGTTATTCTATATTGTTTGATTTTTTTTATTATATTCTGAGCAGAGCAGCAATTTTAAGAATTTGAATAGTCAAGCATTTTAAAAAAATGTTACATTAATGTAAAATAAGTCTACTTGCCACTTGCCTTTGAAAAAAACTCAGCGGCAAATAAAAATTTAGCCCTGGTAAGAGTGTCATGGACCCTGCAGGCTTGCAGTGGCAAGTAAGTTTAAGGCCTAGCTAGTAGCGTAGGACCTAATTATTTAAACCCTGTATGATGCATTAAGATTGTGAAGCAAATCCTGGATTTTTTTTTCTGTAATTGTTAGCCTAACTTCCAGTAAAGTAACCAAGGTAGATGGTATTAAAACAATGCAACATAATATGATCAATTAGCCAATTTAATAAATGCACATTTCAATTTTCTATTTATTAACTACAAGCTCAGGGTTACGTCTTCTGCGAACGTGATAATTATTTTACTGTAAGGTTTGCAATTTCTAAACAGCTTTTACATCGGTCAGCATTTTCAGAATATCTGATAACCATTAATAGCAGTAATAACATTTTGGCAGTAGGAATTGCATAATTGAGATTACATAAGGATTTAGACAAACACTAAAACAGTATGTAGTGGGGAATGTGTCATTGTACAAGTTACAAACACTGCTAACTGGCTGCTGATGTTGACTGTACACAGTGGAGAATCTCTGAAACAGGCGGCTTAAATCTGGATTTGGTTAGTAAAGACAATGAGTGTTAGAATTGGAAGGTTGGCCCAAACGGATGGTGAAGAATATTTTATAATTCAGACTTTAGTGAATAAAATAAACTGTGACGGATTACTAGTTTGGAGACTTTATCCTGAAAAGAGGATCAGGCATCATTTAATAGTTCTAATGTCCATATAAATTATACTTACAAATCCAAAAAGTAAGTAGAGGTTCACAGGATATTGATGTCTGTAGATTGTCAGCGCAACTATTGTACCCAATGACCCAAATGCAGATATAAGAAGCAGTGCCGGGCTACAAAACAGATAAAGGAAGAAGATATGAGGAATTATCATTAATCAAACAGGTCTGCTTTAGATTTTTAAATAGAAATCAATAAAAAAAAAGTGAGATATTTCAGGGTAGTTCTCCTCCTGCAGGTTCGAATTCCACCAGACTCAACTCCTCATTCCGAGGTTGATAAAATCAGTACCCTTCAGTTGGGTAATAATTAAGTCAAACTCAGCAGGACAGTCTAATGGTGAATGTTTTATATACACATTTCCTGGCAATTGCTCTGGTATCTACTTCAGAAAAAAAAAAAAAAAAAAAAAGGCAGAATTAAGAACTCAAACAAGCCATGTAGACAGAGCTGTGAAATGTAAGCCCAACTGACAGAGCTAGTTTTCATCCTGCATGTATCTCCACGTTTGAAAAGTTATTTAACATTTCATTCTTTGCATTTTATCCTCTTCTTCCCAGGGTGACCGATACAATGTATGTAAGGAGATCAACTAATTTTAACGAACTGCAAAGCTAAAGCATTAAATAAGTATTTTGTTTGACATTTACTTATCTCAAAACATAGGTCACACCTAGAGAAGGTAAGAAATAGAAAATAAACATATACCTGTCCTTAGAGTTCTCTTTGCAACCCCTTAAGGACCAAACTTCTGGAATAAAAAGGTAATCATGACATGTCACACATGTCATGTGTCCTTAAGGGATTAAAAGGAACACTTAAAAAATGGTTTAATCCCTGAAGGCAAGAATGCCTCTAGGTGTCGCTTGGCACCATAACAACTTAATTTAAATGAAGTTGTTATGGTGCCTCAAGGGGACTAAACGTCCATTTATTGCTGACAAAGAGGAATAGTAACATGTGGATCATGTCGGCGCGAAGTCAAGAACAAGCTGAGGTACAGGACAAGAGAAGGTAACAAACAGATAAGCCAGAATCAATTGGAATTTGACAGGTCACACTGTGAATAACCCTGAGTGGGGTTATTAATACAAATAGCCATACGTCCAACACTCAGACAGAATATAACCTGTTAGATCTCCTCTTTAAAGCACCACTAAGGCACCCAGACCACTTCATCTCATTAAGTGGTCTGGGTGTAGTGACCTTTTAGTAGATACGACAATGTTGCCATTGCAAGGTTAAAGGACCACTATAGTGCCAGGAAAACACTCGTTTTCCTGGCACTATAGTGCCCTGAGGGTGCCACTCCCATGGCGCTGAAGGGGGAGGAAGGGGTTAATCAGCGCTGGGACTCTCCTTCCTCTTCTGTCATCGGCTGAAAAGAGCCGCGCGCGCATTCAGCCAGTCTCATAGGAAAGTATCAATGCTTTCCTATGGACGCTGGCGTCTTCTCACTGTGAAAATCACAGTGAGAAGCGGGAAGCGCCTCTAGCAGCTGTCAATGAGACAGCCACTAGAGGCTGGATTAACCCATAGGTAAACATAGCAGTTTCTCTGAAACTGCTAGGTTTACAGCAGGCAGGGTTAACCCTATATGGACCTGGCACTCCGACCACTTCATAAAGCTGAAGTGGTCTGGGTGCCAATAGTGGTCCTTTAAATACACCTCTAGTGGCTGTATTAATGACAGTCACTAGCGGCACTTCTGCAGTAATGACGAACATGGCCCCTTTGACTATTTAGGAGACACACAGCACATATTCCTATCTTGCCTAGAGTATTTCATGCATCTATTTAGGATTATAGTGAATTAAAACCCCAAAATTCCAAAACTAAAAACACAGGCAAGTGACTATAACCAGGTTGGTGAATTTTGCCAGTATATTGGTATTTTATAGTAAATTAATTTTGTTTTAAATATAATAAAGTCATTTTTAATACCATCACCTGAGTTCCTGCACTTCTCAAAGGTGGTGGTGTTGTCCTTAACCACACAAAGCCTCTGTACTGAGCCAGGATCTATGCTCCATGCTTGTGAGTATAATTGTTACCACATATCACGTTCTATTCCTAAAGCAAAATCACACTATTTCTACCTATTCCCTCTATCCTGAGATACACCACTAGAAAAAGGATCCACTTAAAGAATCAACACAAGAGAGAGGAAGGTCACCTAAACGGACCTAAAGGCTACACACACCAGAGCTAGGTTTATTAGCTCTGGGTCATGGGAGTGTGCCATATTGGATTTCTTGAGATTTTACACTATTTTGTATTGATTTCCCTTTTACGGTATACTTGCTTTCGCACAACAGACTTATTTCTGCCAGTTAAGTTATTACCCTTTTGATATTTTGCACTAGGCACATTTAAGAACACTGGTTGCACTTTACAAGTATATAGTACTCCACTGTTTTACATTAAATCAGTACTAATTAAAACAAATCTGTTTTCGATTTCATTATACCTGCTTATTTCTATGTTTGGGACTCTTACAAGTACTACTGGGTGACTCCACAAGAGAATGGAGAATAACATATCCAAAATTTGAAAACAAAAACACCTGTCGATTTAATGTAATATTTATGACTTGTAGGCATCAAAAGGGTTTAAGTAGTAGTAAAGTAAAATGGACTAACAGTAGAGAGGATTGGTTTTAAAATGTAATTAATCCATTTGCACAACTGACAAAACCCAGAAGAGCTTCATCCACATTCTCTTTGAACCGTAAAGCTGTGGCAATTATGGTGCCTGGAGTGTTCCTTTAAAAGAAGATGAATGACAGAGCCAGTGGGTGGTAGTGGGAGACACAGGGATTTATTTTTTCCTGTTGTTCAGCTAAAACTCTGACGATGACCAGACCCAGAGGCGGCTCTAGACTTTATGAGGCCTTAGGCGAACTTCAAGCATGAGGCCCCACTTACACCCAAAGTATAAAATAATAGGGTTGTATTTTGTATAAGTGTAAGGAGCATTCTCTATATTGAAAGGCAGGCTTGCAGCGCTGGATACAGAGAGTCAGTCTCTGCATTCATTGTTCAGAAGCTTGCAATGTCAGAGCTTCCTGTGCTCCTGCATTGTGAGCTCTCTGGCTATAGTTGTAGCACATTTTGCAAACAAAATTAATTTGCAATAAATACATTTAATTTGCAATTATGCCAATCGTTTATACACAATTGTGGGGTATGGCAGTCGTGTATAAATAAGTACTGGTGTGAAGGGGTTCTCGAAAACAAAAATGAAAATTTAAGATTTAAGTGACAGGGTAAGTGTGGCATAGTTGGGGTGGGGTGAGTATTACAGTTTTGGAGTGAAGGGTGAATGTGGCATGGTTGGAGGAAGGAGTGTGACAGGATTAAGGGGGTTAATGAGTGTGGCAAAGAGAGGGCAGGTGAGTTTCGAGGGGGTGAGATTAACAGGACTAGTAGTGGTTAGTGAGAGTGTGGATGCAGGAAAGGGCTGAAAGTGTGGAGGGGGTGACAGTGTGAGGACGGGTGACAATGTGTGGGAATGTGACAGTGTATGAGTATGGTGACACTACATTGTAGGGGTGACAGTGTGTATAAGGGAGAGTGACTGTGTGTGAAGGGGATGATACTGTGTGTGAGGTGGTGACAGTTTGTGTGTGTGTGGAAGGGGTGATCTGGTGAGGGAGGGGGTGATAGTGTGTGGGAGGGGGTAATACTGAGAGGGAGGTGATATACTGTGAGGGAGGTGGGTGATACTGTGAGGGAGCGGGGTCATGGTGTGTAGGAGGGGGGAATACTGTGCAGGGGCGGATCCAGAGCCTGATCTCGGGAGGGGCACTTGTAGATTATTTAAAGAAATAATCCAGGCACAATAACCACTACAGCTCAGTGTAGTAGTTATGGTGCTAGTAGTGCCAGGATCCCATCCCAGAGTAAGTAGTCAAACCGTTTAAGAACAGTTTGACAACTTACCTGGGGTCTGCTGGGATATAGGGCATAGGAGCAGTGGTATGTGTTAGGGGTGAAGTGTGTGTGAAAGGTGCAGTGTGTGTGTGTGTGAGCAGTGAAGTGTGTGTGCGAGTGCGTGAGGGCGGCAGTTTATGTCAGGGTTCCAGTGTGTGTGTTAAGGGGCAGTGTATGTGTGGGGCAGTGTGTGAGCGGTGCAGTGTGTGTGTGAGAGTTGCAGAGTGTGTATGGGGGGAACTGTATGTGTGTTTGGAGGAGTGTGTATGGGGGGCACTGTATGTGTGTGTGGGCAATGTGTGTATGTGTGGCAATGTGTGTATGGGGGGCAGTGTTTGTTGGGCAGTGTGTGTATGGGTGTGCAGTATGTGTATGGGGGCAGTGTGTGTATGGGATGCAGGGCAGTGTGTTTAGTGTGTGTATGGGGGCAGTGTTTGTGGGGCAGTGTGTGTAGTGTGTGTATGGGGGCAGTGTTTGTTGGGCAGTGTGTGTATGGGGGCAGTGTGTGTAGTGTGTGTATGGGGCAGCAGTGTTTGTGGGGCAGTGTGTGTAGTGTGTGTATGGGGGCAATGTTTGTGGGGCAGTGTGTGTATGGGGCAGTGTTTGTGGGGCAGTGTTTGTGGGACAGTGTTTGTGGGACAGTGTTTGTGGGACAGTGTGTGTAGTGTGTGTATGGAGGCAATGTTTGTGGGGCAGTGTGTGTATGGGGGCAATGTTTGTGGGGCAGTGTGTGTAGTGTGTGTATGGGGCAGTGTTTGTGGGGCAGTGTATGGAGTG